TAAGCCGTCACAGACCGCAACCTGGAACTCACTTTCTAGAATTATTAGCTCTACAGTGTAAATATCCATCTTAGGTTATAGCGCGGTGCTTGCTGACACCCAAACCTTCGTCTAGGTCTGACGATAATGACCCAAGCTCCGATGACAGACCGGAAGTAACCAGACAAAAATTTAGTTTCGAAAGTGAACCATTGAGCTGCGTCCGATTGAGACTGGCTGTTGCCTAATTTTTTGTGGCTTCTATCACGACTGCTCGCTCTCTCACCGTCCATTTGCTTCCCGAGTGCCAATAGCCTAGCTTCCAGATGTCTGCTATGCGATGTACTGCTGACGTATAAGCATGCGACCAGCTAATTGGGAGATCCACGTTCACCATTGAAAGCATGCGACGGCTAACCGAAACCATATCCACAAGGGATAGCTGTCACAGAAGCTGCCGCTGGATCCGGTCTTGCTTTTATTGCCAGCTTCACGTACACTATTATCCACGTAGGATTCATTGCAGGTTGCGGAAGAGCCAGCTGTCCTGTTCAGGCAAAAATGATAAACACCGGACCCACGGTAGACTCGTGTGCATTGAAACATTACGTGACAAGAAGAAAAGCTGTAAAAGGTTTCGTTCACCTATATGCGAATAAAGCATAAGAATAGTGCTCCGCAGATGACTCAGACATTATAAGCATAATCTAAGTAGTGTATTTATACCTTTCTTCTGATAACTGGCAGCAACTGGTAAAAATGTTACACATATTTTCAAGATCAAATAGAAAGAAATAGAAGAAGAAAGAAACAAAATAATAACATCCTGTTTTATCCAGCTTGTTTAAGCTATGTAGCTTGTTTTATCCATTACCAAATCTAGATGTGAAATATCGGCGTAAAGTATGGCACGAAAATAGCGCCATATATATAGTCTTGTGCAAGACTGTCTTCAGGCCTTCAATAAAAAATGCTTGAACTTAAATAGTAGGATACGTGTGTGGGTAACGCAATTGGGTACTAGCCAACAATTCAGCGAACAATCGAAGAGACGTATATCATATTCCATAAAAACGCAAAACTACATGATTTGACAAAGAAAAACAAACATGTTTTGCCATACAGCGGCCTATCCGTCCTTATTAGTAAACCGATCTGGTGTCACGAGGTTTGGGAGGCCATTTGAACCTTGTCGTCCGCCCATAGCCATGCTAGCCCATTCATTAAACTGACCCTTTTGCACTTGCAAATTTACCCAGTTGAAGATATCTTTCTTCAACTGCTCTGACTGTGTTTAAATTGAACCCTCTGGAAACGCGCGCTACCTACCTGAGATCACTATTCATCGACAAAGTTGTGTGGCAGTTATCTAACACGGGGGAAGCAAACTAGCATATAGGGAACAGTTTGATCAGCGTCATATTTTTTATAATATGTTAAGCAATTTGCTTTAAGGTAAACAACAATTAGTGTGATATCAACAGAAACGGTTGATCGGTAGAACGGTAAATCCGACTTTGTCGGCGTACTGAGATTGCTTCCGCTTTTTTTACATACACTGGGATACTGGATATGGTTTGTGAGAACGGTTGATAATACGCGATGTCGCCATTCAGGCTGTAAAACCTAAATCATTCAGTATACATACCTTTCAACGTGCACACCCAGAAAGGTAATAAATAACCTTCTAAGTAAATGCTTAATACAATCAGTGCAGCGGTATATGTAAATGGCTCCATTTTTATTTCATCCGAGTTGTAACAACATTTCGCTTATTACCCTTATTTACTTGTATATATACCGTGAAAATCACAATACCCATTGTAAAGCTCTGCTTTATAAGATACATGTGCAAGCTATATCTATAAAACACCGTATAGTGAATTCATATCATTATCGGCATGCACTGGAAATTTCGCTTATGGCCATCAATATAGAGACAATATGTTGTTTATTCGCAGGATCTTTTTTTTTTTTTTTTTTTTTTTTTTGCTAGGTTTATAGCTTAATCCCATTGTTATAGACTTCAGGATTCTATAACGTTTAGACTTTTTGCTGCTCTTGATTCTAACTTATCATTTCCTTCCCATATATCCTGGTAAAGGTGCTGACATACATTATGGGGATTCGGCTCACTTATGCCTTATTGTAAGCAGTTATGGACAAGCGTTTGCTTCCGACCAGCTGACCTCCCTTCCGTCCTACTGATTCTATCTAATTTGCGTCATCAAATGCACATTCAGTACAAAGAGATGATATTTATCGGAATATGATCTGTTTCCCGTGTTGTCTCCTACTCGCTGGATGCTTTTGTTTATTAGCCCGTTTGACCGCGAGCTCCCGCTCACCACTTGCGATATGCCGGTGCCTATCTTCATGTAGTTAGTCTCCGTGTTCTTCATTCTCGCCTCTTGCCCCTCATCTTTCGACCTATGCTGGACCAACAGGCCATCGGACCTGCTAGGGATGAGTTTGTTAGGTTTCTCCTCACAAGCGCATGGCCCGCATTTGTAACCCGCAGGATGTCAATAAGAGGGTATTTTCGTTTTGTCGGAGCTCGTAAATGGGTGGCCGTTATTATTGGTGGTTTTGCTTTTCATCCTTAGATTTGCCGATAGCCGATTTTCTTTTCAGTCATTTTTCGTCGTCGCCATCATCTTGGTTCTTTGCAGTCGCTTGTGTTGTAGTCGTCTGTTGAGAAAGGACGCAGTTATTAGACAAAAGTGGCCGCCGATCGATCGCAAACAGGGTAGAATTGTCGCATGAGGGAAGGGGAGCTTACGTTGAGTTTGTGCAGTGTATGAAGAGCCTGCATCACAGTACGCTTATCCCTACGCTTTATCTCAGGGTCTTTCTTTTCACCGTCTTGACCACCATTTGCACCGCGACTGTCACTAGTAGCAATGTTATTCTGATCACAACTCCGTTGGCTATCCATTGTCGTAACACGTAGCAACGCCGCATATTTTCCATCATTAATATTTTTGAGGCGTGAATTATATGTGAGTATACTGTAAATGTATTTGTTTTGCACCCCAATGGATTTCCTTTTCCACTTTTAAGACCATTCACCAGCGAAGGTTCTCCACTTGCCACACGGGTTGCTCGCATGCAGACAAACTACCTTACTCGTGTTTTCGCTATTTGTCTTGCTACCTCTGGCGCGTGTGCAAGCTAACCTAGCGTGTGCCTCCCCCTCTCTTCCGTCCCTGGCAATACTTGTGCGAGCCTATCATTGCAGATACATGACACTATGCACAGTCTTATCATACGGGGTAGCGGTCATCATATGTCCATTTGATGAGATTGAGGATATTGTTACGGTTGAGGTTGTGATCGTTGGCGTACTCCGCATCATCGACGTCGTGTTCAAGGCAAAGCAAGGGGGTCGGTACGGTAAGGAGAAAGAAAGACTTTAAGATCAAACGGAAGGAGACCATGATTACATTACAATACAATGCAACACAACGTCATATGATGATCATCATCAACGACATAGAGCCGCGGTAACTATGAGGGATGCGACATCAGGTTGTTGCTGATGTCATTTCGTCTGTATCCGCCGTCGGCAACATACGATGACAACAACGAGAGTAAGCTATAGGCTCCTGTGTGCCTCCTGCGGAGTGTTATCTAACCGTGTATGCCATGACCGCAGAACATACATATAGAACACAGGTCACGCATACATGCATACGAGTAGGTACCTAACAAAGAACCTGGGGCGACAGTGGAAAGTAGCTCGCTTTTTTTACTTCTTGCTATTTTTTGTGACGACCCACAGCAGTTCATAGAGGTACATAAGTATACGAACGCCATACTGGACACACATGCGACCATGCACAGGATACTGGCATGTAAACAGCGATAGCAACAATGTAAGTGAACACGAAATGGCAACTGTAATAGAAGGAAAAGACAAATTAACAGGGATACCAGCGAAGGTATTGAATAGCCATCATGAACGAATTGGCTGGGCGTCGTCTTGCATCGACAGCGATGCTCTTTTTCGTACACGCAGCTACACACAAGTCCCAAACAAACAGAGGCACATGCAAATAGACACTCGTGCAGACGTATATACGGCATGTGCTACGTGGCCAAACGGGACCAACAGCTGTCCTTATCCTTCGTACAATTCTTCGTATAGGGTTATATAGCAGTCACTAGGTCCACGTATATAGATTCCCTAGCTCTTCGTCCTTTCCCTAAATAATAGCTAATAACACTCGAACTATTAAACGATCTCCAAATAAGGGTCAACTGGAAAGGTGATCTGATCAGCCTGATCTGCACAGGTGGTTCCCCGCTGCGGGTTTACCAGGCCGCCGCACCCCAGGGGACTCGTTGCGCAGTTAGGGCTATATTCACGTGGGCTTATATAACCACCATACGGTAACCTACTTCCTTTAACTAGCGAATATGATCCTGATGTAAGAAAAACACTGACAAAGATGGAACTGACTAAGGAGGCATTTAAGAAAAGGCCAGTCACAGCTAGCGTTACTGCCACAAAACGAGTGAACGGGAACAGCTACTCCTTTCTGAATGTTTTTGTATATCAACAATTGATTTCAGGATTAGCTAAGTTGAGTCCCTGAGATGTAAGCGTTGTATTATTCAGGAATCAATGCGATTCTCAAAGACGCAACTCTCCCATGTTCTCAAAACTTTAAAATAAAGCAACATGACGGTTTTGCTCTGTAGAGCTATTCACTCATTACTGGTATATACTTTTTCGATGTCTAAGTAGATGCAAAAAGTCAGCGTATTGGTTAAGTATTTCATGACTCCAAGCAGCGAGGTCTTACAACGTTTATTTGTCCTCTTATCTCAGTTCTCATGCACGTACATAGACCTACATCCTCTGTTGTATTTTAAAGATAAATCAAGAGCTTTTTTATAAAAAAAAAAAATGTATACGTATGCTCTTCTCAATTATTATCTAGATACATATGTATTAAGACACTATTCTGCCGTGACCTTTCATCTACGTGTTTTACTTCGGCTGTCGCTTCCAGGTATGACATCATGAACTTTCAACAGGTGAGCCCGGATAAGTATGACTATGTGCAGGTGGGCGCCTGGGTCAATGGCATCCTGAATTTGACAGCGCCCATACAGTGGAGCCCGCAGTTCCATCTTAAAGCCGACTCTCCGCCAGTGTCCATCTGTAGTAATCCCTGCCCCAAGGGGCAAGTCAAGGTTAGTAAGTAGTAGTGGGTGCCTGCTGGTGTGAATTCACTTTTTGCGAAGGTTTACCCAACCATATATGCTATATATGTGTTTGTCTATTATATATTGCTTCTCGTGTAAAGTGTAGCTCTCTCTAAAATGAGTTTTGAATGACCTTCATCTTCGGCCTGTGCCACTCCAACCGTTTCATTGTTCCTCTGCGATAGGTCCAGCACAGCTCAGCATCAGATATGATTGTGCGATGCGTTTTCCTGAATCGCTCCGTCGTATGTTACTGGTTTGCGTACAATTTTTGCCCAGTTTTGGCAAAGAAAAACTTTGTTTGTGCGTGTTCGTAGTCGCTACACAACGCAACTTCTCACCGCCATGCGCAATGGTTGTACAGCACTTTAAGACCAGCAAATCTGAAAACAAACCGGTCTTCCCTGACGTCCTCCGCTCTGTTTTATTATTCGTAATTTTTTGTTGCTCGAGCCGTTAGTAAGCGAAAGAACACGTCGGCAGTACGTAGTAAGTCGCATACATTGTTTGCGTCGTAGATTCACTTCTCAGATAAAATTAGAACGTATGTCGCTCTCGATGCATAACACCTTTCGGCTTAAGCCTAGCGGGAAAATTCAAATTTGTTGTTGGAAATGCTTTATGTTGTGAGGGCTCAAAGCAGAAAGCGGCTTGGGGGGCGGGCACGAGTAATGCCTGAAGCTGTGACGAAAGCGGTTTTGTGTCGGGAAAACGTAAAACAGGTGGGCATGCTTAGCATGGTAACACCGCTGATGCTGCCGCTGGTCCTGTCATCATCGACCGTGAGAAGCGCCGCAACCACTTATCTGATTTTAGTCTCACATAGAGTCAAGAGGAACCTGGTGGGATGCTGTAGAACGAAGAAAAAACAAGGGACAAACTAGTGGCCGCATGACAGCCACAATGCCGGCGACGACAGGACCAATCGACAGGGAATATATACAAAAGAAAAGTGGAAAGCCCTACATTGAAGTACGATCAGTGTTTAAGTTGATCCCATGTCTACATGGAATTATTATATACATGTTTTCGATCTCATATCTTTGAGCTCTTGAATAGTTGTTTCGCATTGGGTATGTGTGTTACCACTAAATATAGTTAGATTGGTTGAGTGTTTAAAACGTTGTCTATAATTTATTCAATATTAGAAACGGTGATAGTTTCGCCGCGTAAATAGGTTGTAGTTGGCGCTGTGTAAGAGTTACAGATTAATTTTTCTTTCTGACAGAAAAAACGTCGTCTTACGGTTGCCGATGTTAGACAATAAATATGCTCGAATCGGATTGTTTATATTGTCTAATCCTATATAACTTGTCGTGTGTTACATTCTTTGTGAATGTACGTGCTTCGCCCGTTCAGAGGCTTCAAGGGCATTTTATAAGCCGCCTGTTTTCGATCCTTAAACTCTGCCTAAGGTGAACGGGCTCTGTCATGAAATCACTGACTAACGGGATAGATCAATAATGCAGAGGATCAAAGCCGTGAGTTTTGAGGCCGATTGCAGAACGTTTTGTGTGTTTTAAAGGTATTGCCTTAGTAATCGTTTATAAAAAAAGCATATATTTGTTTTGGTTCGAAGTATATGTTTTGCTAGCAAAACGTTCGTTTCTTAGAGGCATTTTTTATTGCACGTTGCTCTTTTCGACCGTAATGTACGATATAGTGTAAGAAGCACGCTTCATCGGGTTCCTGATCTTTACTACACAGCGTGGTGCTGGCACGAAAACCAAAGCGAGCTCGACAAAACCTGGTCTCTCTTGGTAGGAACTTTTCGTACCCTCCCTTAACACTATGGTGTCAATCACATCCCTGCGGTCAGAATCGTATGTCCCAGCGTCCCTGACTGACGCTGCTTCCAACACCTCATTCGCTCGGCTTTCGACACGGCCTTCGCGCGTCGCGAACAGCAACGCGACACGCAGGTTATTTGGCTTAAGCTGGGAGACCTGCCGCGTTACGACTTCCAGACTTCGCCAGAACTTCAAGACAAGGAAGGCACAGCAGACAGGCAGTAAGGGTGGTCCCTTTCTTCGCATCTTACACCGCTGCGTCCGATGCCTGTCCTGACCTGTCTCAGCATGCAGTACTAGCAGCGGCCGTCGCGGCCCCTGCCGCAGCCACGATCGCCTCCTTCCATTTCTCCACGCCCTATCTGCGTATCTGCCGGAGTTTGCGCCCTTACTCCGCACCAAGTCACCGAAGCCAAGCTACTGTCAACGAACGAGTCGTGCAATGGTGTATGTATGTGAAGACAACAAGACTTTGCCTTCGTGTCTGGATTTCTTGCCTACCTAACTAATTGTTCGAGGCGCTACCGCTGCAGCCCCATTATCTGCCTCTTATCTTTTCCTGCCAGCCTTTTTGTGCCGCCCCTATTGGCCTAATAAGTGAGCGTTTAGAAGAACACTACTCTTGCATTCACAAGCAACCTCGCTTTATGTCTTATTTTTATCCAGGACTTACGCTGAACAGACGTAGCGAAAGTCTGCGAAAGCTGTCGACGAGAATCTGGACGTGAAGAAGATGAGGTGAGGATAAATAGAAGAGGATAGTTCCAATGGGGTTTCTGCTAATGACGGACAAACAGCCAGTCTGCTGACGCTGCTCCTGTTTCCGCCGCTTGTATTAATGGCTGCTAGCTAGTGCCTTAGCTAACGCTAAGTACATGCTCTATGACAGCTCGCCGTTCAAGACCTGCTATCAGTGCGAAAATCCTCGCTTACCTGGAGGAACTGCTGGATATAACTAGCCCCTCCCAGGTCGCTACTTATTCTGAGGCCACCCTGTCCCCATATTTGTTAGCTTCTTTCCATGTATCGCCGGCTGCGGGACTTTTCCGCCGCGAATCAATTTCACGGGAAAGTTATTTCGCTCTTTGCACTGGCGCTATGGTATGGAATGTATTTTTTCATTTGTTTGTCCCTTAGGCGATCACTAAAGAGGAACATTATATAATTAAAACCAGAGAGCAGTGCAGCAGTGTATAATTTTTCATCGAGAAACAAGAACGTAGTTGCACTAGAAAGGCTAAAACGATGAACGATACGATAGCGTCAAAGGTAGCCTGTAATAGTACGGATGACTGATAAAGCTGGCGTAAAAAGTAGATCGATGTTGAATGTGCCGTGTATAAGAAGCAATCATTCTTACGAACCTAGAATACCTGCTGGTTTTGCAACGATGAATCTGTAGCTGCAGCAGGCCCACAGACACAAAGGTTCCACGTGTGATAGGTACATGAGCTCTTGTCACGAGCTCAGCCCGCTGCTGATACGACGTTTCCGAGATTGAGAGAAAGCGAAAGTAAGAAGAGTCGCTGTTTCAGCCAACGGGCTCCCGTAAGACCCTCTGGCTGAAGACTAGCATTTGAAACGGCAGGAGCGTCGGCAGTAGTGACGGTGGGAGGTTACCGAAAGCAATATCTGAGGCCATCAATTTTCAGCCTCGGTAACCCAAAGGAAATTTCTGCTAAGGAAACGAGCCCTCCCCAGTTCCTTCCTGGCATCGCCTGGCATCTGCGACAGTACTCTCTCTTGCTGAGCCACCAGACAATGCGTTTCCTAAGGGGTTCATGGATCCAGTCACCCTGTTCTTTAAGCACCATCGTTCAGTAACAAACCGTTAGGTTCAGAATGATCGTCGACTGTCCCCGCCGTGGCGTTCCTTCAGCTCGCAAGGATTTTTTGGAGTTGACCGCTGGCTGCAACCGATCTAGTTCACATCTATGTGCCGTATCGTTATGGAGCTTTTAACTCTGCCCCAACCCACCGCATCATGGGCAGTAAGGCAGTTTACTCAGCAGATCTAAGTATGTCGTTTCTATGTTACTCGCTTATAAGCGCTGTATGTGTCGTCATATTTTCGATGTCAGATCTGTTATTTCTTTTTTCATCTGTGCCATTTCTGCTACATGGTTGTGGCGACCGAAAAGCGAAGAGAGCATTCTGCAATCGCTTGCTTATTCGTCTGCAGTGTCTGCAGATACATTCAGTTACGTTATCTGGTACCAGGATAATGGACAATACAGATCGGATGTGAGATCGTATTATGAATTAGTCAGATTGTTTAGCTCTTTACCGATTTCAGTTGTGCAATTGTCTAGAGGTTGCTCACGGTAGATCTGTTTTCTCCTATGACATCTGGCGGCTCGCAAAACCTAAAGGTCCTTAGTATAGGTATGTAGGTGCCGACTGTGTATGACTTACGATGTATACGTATACATATGTATGGAAAAAGCAAAAAAATGTTGGCCTATCCAACCTCCCGTCGCACCTCCTCTCAAGCAACGCGACATCTAAGGCTACGCACATACCGGATCAGGCGTAGGAGGTACTATGTAAAGTCTTTATTGTCTAAAGTTCTGTGCATCCGCCAGTTACCGCTGTCCACCTGCTTCCCCTCGGCATGAAACTACGACATTCATGTCCCCGGAAAGCTCTAAACCTCGTTGGGAAAGCCAGAGTCGACTTGAAATAGCATCCGGCAAAGCCAGTCCGACGGCAGCGTGGCATTTCTGTATTCCTGCACAGGCATTCACTCCCTTTGTGGCATAACGTCAGTCATCCGCTTAGTCCGCTTTCCAGTGTGATACTTAGGAACGCCTAGTTACGGCATCTTGATCTGTTTCCTTTTTTCGCCAAGGTACCGTTTTAAGGCGCCTCACTTTTTGGTACTTCCAGCCATTTCGCCTCGTCGTCTTCCAGTTTTGGTCTTGCTGGTACATATAGCATGTAGCTGTGCTGACCCGTGGCCTGCTATTCCCTACACGTATGGGTTGATTTCTGTTTGTTCCTTCGTCTCTCTTATCCTGCGGGTGCTGGAGAATCCCTATGACCTTTTCTCGTATGTGACCGACTGCATAGATATGTAAATATTATACTCTGCCTACACTGCTGCAAGTTCACTCTTTGTACTGAGGACTAGCTGACCGCGGAACATCATTTATAGGCTTGGTTTTATAGACTCCTACTCTGGAGCCAGCCTACCTAGCCTTATAGCATAAAGACACTGGAGCATGTTTCCTTTTTTTCCGTCGACCGCTTGTATCGCTGTTGTGCACTGAATGTGTCATATGTTAAGTCGCTGGGCAGGTAGACATGTCTATTGTTCTAAAGTAGACAGATGCTGTACAGGCCTTTCTTTCTGCTAATTGGCATACTTATCAGTACCTACGAATAGTTATCAACGGTGTCGCCGCGAGACAATTGAAAAGAAGGCTACGGAATGGGCCACAAAGAGACTGTATGTGAAAGAGAAAGATAAAAAAAATATACTAAAGGAAAGTAGAAGAGATGGGTCGGGCATTGGTAGGCTTAAAACCAAAGTGCTGGAAGGTGGTCGTGTTTCCTGATGTGACTGAAACTTCGATGCCGTCAGAGCATCCGTTCCTTAATATGGCGTGCTGGATTTGTGTGTTGCTTTTTCTGCCGGTGTTTCGGTCCCGCTTGAAAACCCCAGATCTAAAATACGGCGCTGGGAACGAAGACGAGCCTTTTTTCTTCAATGAGCTAAGGTTGCATACGAAAGCGATAGTTGGGGCTGCACGGCAAGCTCACAGCAGGCTCTGAAAGAATAAGACTATGAAGGGTCAGAGATAAGATTGGCAGGGAGCAACCGTTGGGAGAGTGTGAGGATCAACACGAGCCGATTATGGTATTATGCCAGAAGAGGAAAAAACAACCGTCTTGCGACGATCGGTCGATCGATTGGTCGATCTCTGCATAAGGACCAAGGTGGAGCTAGAATAATGTGGGAATGGAATAGAAGAGCCAAAAGCAGTAAAGGAAAAAAGCTGTTTTTGTTGCGATAGTTAAGGATGGTTGGACGATTTAAAAAAAAAAGGAAAAAGCCCCTTAAGAGAGATGGCGACGAGAGGAAGAAATGAGGTCGCTTTTCCACCGCGAGTACTCGTAATGTCATTGACGATAAAGACGAATGACCCCAATTTTTCCGCCAACAAAATCTCATCCCTCGGACGATTTTTAAGAAAATGCGCTACTATTTGCTTCTCTTCCAAGTAGTTTTCCACGAGGAGGAACCTACTTTAGTCATAGGTAACTATGAACTCTCAGGAGATAAAGATGTTTCGAAACTTACATCCTAGAACTTTGCAACGCCAATTATCACTTATGTAACCAACCTAATTGACCTGCGTAAATTATTTAGACTCTTTTAAAGGCGAATAAGAGACGACAGCTCGTCCTATCACATTATTTACATTTCGTTCTCAAGAATTTAGGTTTTGGTATGCTTTAAAATATACGGTTTCCTTTTCAAGATCTAGATTTTCATACAAAGAGACTTCAGCTATACGAAAATTAACAGTGCTTAGTAATAGTTGTCTAGTATGCATACAATACAAACGACTAATATCCACATTTGTCAACTGACTGGCTCCACGGTAATACAATTTTCGAAGCTAATCGAATTTTCGAGCAACACAGTTTATGGTGTCGGTTATCCACGTCCGACATTGGATTGCTTATCCTTTTGTTCGCCTACGAAGCCATCAAGACGTTGCCGCTAAACTTTATCTTACCCCAAGGCGCTCACAGTGCCTCCTAAGCCTATAAGCCAAACAACAACAACCATGACCTTTGTCAACTTCGTACCAATAAGGCATACTGGGCCAGCAAAGCCTGCTGCCCTTGCGAGTCCCGCTGACCGGATTGCCTGCTGACGAACCCGTTCCTACTCCCTTTTTCCTCCAGGAAACCAAAGTGCGTAACAAAACCAATTTTTCGCTCGGCTAGACTTTTGGATCAGTACCTAGTCTGTGTGCTCTACGGATTCACAATCCACTCAGATACCAGCGTTGTCGCTGCCACCTCCGTCTACTTCTAGCCCTACTAGAAGTAAACACTTATCTTCCTTCTCTCTATGGATAGCCGCTCGCTTAGTAAGTTGCCCGATTGGTGCATTGGCCGCTTTGTCGGCCAAGATTGAGGTTCGAGTGTGTTGGTAACTAAGATAGAGTAGGGGGCGAGAAAGAAGTCCAAGGTCAAATCCAGGGGCAGGGCCATGGTCCCTTTTTTCGACACTTTCCTCCCTCAGAATTATACTGATCTCGTCGAACCTCCGTCATCGGTCTGGGGACGCGCACAATGAGATTCAATGGCGTCATCTTGCTCCCTCACTTGCGCTCCCTATCTCTCTCTCACTCTCCGAGATACTTGCCCTCGTTTTCAGAGGCTATTTTGTGATACATAAGACCGGATTTTACAGCAGATGCAGCGTAAAACTCTGGGCTGCCTAACCAACGAAGAAGTCCTCGCAGGAAACTTGGAACGATCCCCTTTTCGCAGTACCGTGAATTCAATTTCTACTACTCCCTTGGTCGTAGTCCTTCAGATTTCTCAATGACTTTTAGTTTCTTTTAGCGTGTGCGATTGCCGATACCGCTGTTTCGATTGCGGATGCTATTGTTTTTGCAAGCTTTTTGATGCAGTACCACGCGCCTGTTTAAGAGCCAGCGGTGATTCGGCCGCCTTCCGAAGTCGAAATAGATTCTCAAGCACTTCCCTCGAACCGCTGAGTACCCTCCATACCCGCCGTCAGTAGTCGATGGCCTCGAAAATTGTCCTACCATTTTCCAAGTCTACAGGCAACACACAAAGCTGCATGTTTGTACACACAACATCATACAATAATCGGACGAAGGATGACACGCAATAAAGTGAAAGCGTTGTTTTATGAATTAAAATAATTTTGAATGTACACCACGTACAACATTCGAAGACTGCAGACGAAAAATGTTTCAACATTAGTCTCGTCTATCCATGATGCTAACATATATTTATGGCTTGCGATCAGAATGATTTCATATGGCAGGTAACCATTTAAGGTGCCAGTACTTACTCTCTTTGCTGTGATCATTTGGGCCTCTACAGGACGCCTCGACGTGATAAGCCCCACATGTCAAGACATAACTAAGTTGACATCAATATTGACGAATCAAATATAACAACACTAGCCATATTAGATTAGAAACATCTACGGGATCCAAGAAATGGCGTGTATACTTACATTAAACAATAAGCAATTTCACTCACGAGCCCAAGTTGTATTAGGATGCCTCCCAGGAAAGATAGAGAATATAAGTTGTATCTACTATGTGACTGGACCGTTCGAGAGACCTACTTCGCTTGACATTTTTATGATGCATCCAAATAGAATATGTAATAAATAATAAAATGTATACGATGACTGGATATGCAACAAAACGCAAACAAGAAAACTATTATCCTTAGATACGATTATAATTTTGACTAGTGCATTTTTGTTTTATATAATTTTGTTTTTATGTATTATGTAATATAAAGGCCTATTTGTTTGGTGCAACAAAATCCATCAAAAAACGTTCGTTTGGAGATAAATTGATCTGTGTATTTCAAGCCAGGTAACGTTTCGTATATCTCTCATTATATATTTCACATAATTCTCTTTTTGACGCCCATGTAGATATTTTATTGTTGCGGGTTTTATTGTTATAATGCCCTTGACAAATATAGATCACTTATTCGTTAGTATCACTTCCTGGTTATTTTGTTTAAGTTGAACAAAATCAGTAATTTAGCGTTTGCCACAAACTGTATTATAAGCACCACTCTAGAGCAAACGAAGGTTTACGATTTTGAAGCTTAGATAATTTTAAAAAGACCTTTTTTCTTTTGACTATAACCGAAGCGATGGAACAAATTGTATACATATACACGTGCAGTATGAATATGCTAATTGCGTGTCATGCTTACAACCATTTCAGAACGTGCACTCGGAAACTTTGAAATGCTGCTGGACGTGTACCGAATGCAAGAAGAACGAGTACGTGTTGGATGAATACACTTGCAAGGCGTGTGCTCTCGGATACTGGCCCAATGAAAACCTCACAGGTATGCGCACACGCGTCTATCGGCCTGTAAATAGATCGCTCATCAATGCGAAACCTATACATAACGTTGGATTTCATCATTCAATTAGAACTATATTCGAGAGAACATAGGGTTTTTAGTAGTACAGTCAGTTCATCTAGTTCTGTAACTTCGAAACGTCTTCGCGCACCATTAACACGAAACAAATCTCCTGACTTGCCCCCTATAACCACCTAGCGTTGCAGCTTCGTCAATAATATCTTTCGAAAATTTAACCAAGCCGACTTTAACTTGTGGGTTCCTTTCCCACCCATAACGTAAGTCTTTTTGTAAAACGCTTGAAAAAACAGTAGTCGTGCTTCTGCTGATAGCAGCTTAGTTAATTTACATGTACTTGTTTGATTTCGACATTTTTCCAGATTAGACTAATCCGATCAATATATTAACTGGGGTCTCAGTCGAATCTAGTTGCAAAAACACGTTCAGCAAGAGTTTCTTCCCCATCCTCTGTTTCGTTCATTTGCTTTGCCCCAAAGTTGAATCTACCGTGACTTAGGCTGGATTCGCCTTTTTGTTGCCTCCTAAATGTCCTCCTTATTAATTTGCGCTACAAACTGGCTGCTAAAGCTCTGCAAGTCTGCCCTTCTAAACATTATGGGCATTCAACGAGTAAGTGTTCGTATTCTGCCCCACAGTTTGCCCTTCCCGGATAGAAACACAGCAGACGAGAGTTTAAGTACTCTTGAATCTTCCAGGGTGTAAATTAACTAGCTACACTAGCCCGGACTTTTCCGCTAGTTTTGTCAGAAGTAAAATTGGTTGAATAGAACATCTAGAACCCTTCTCGAGCTGACACTCTTATGGCTTCACCTCGGCTAAATACCATAACCTCAACACTGCGGCATCAGCATGTAAATTAATAATGTACAATATGAGACTTGTGTGTAGCACCATTGCCAGCCACTTCTACCTCTACCCGCTTCTTCTCAAACCTGTCAGACGTCAAACGCGCAAAACGAAAGGTACACGTTATAGATCCACCGGGTTAGATACACTCAATCTAAATGGTATTGTGAACTAAATAAAACTTCCAGATATGGTTCAGCCATAATAATTTTTAGTCTGATGAACTCGTTCAGTCTAATCAAATCAGTGACGAACTACACCTCTAACTGTGCTCATCACAGACAAGCTGGCATCGTATTAAGCATAACCGGTAATTTGGCTATCAAAACAGTTGCATATAACTGTTATACTCGGAACTTATGCAGGCGGCATTTGCTGTTTTCAGTTACAGTAGCTCTCAGGCCGACTTTCGCAACTAATCACCTTTGTGATCGGACACATCGCCTTAGGTTACTAGCATGTTTCCCTGATTCTGAGATGAACAGCCAACTGGAACAGAAATGTAACAGGAGGAAAATCGGGGATAAGGGAGGCACATGGAGGCTTGGTCGAGAGTTACGAGGCCATCTAGAAATCACAGTCTAACTTGGCTCACTCTCCCCGCAGCTCTAACGGCCAGGCAACACCTCAACATCATTGCCGCCAGTAACCGTCTTCCATGGACGACGCGTGGGGAACTCCAATCGGCTACCTTTCCCTCTCTAGTATCCCGTCTGCTTTTCAGTTAAAACTTGATAAGCACTTCTGTTCTTCTATATATCTAAGCTGAAAGAGTTTGTGCTGTCACGTTGCCTCCATAAAGGCGAAGCACTTAACTCTAGCCTTAGTCAGTAAGTGCTGCAAGCCAGCGAACGTAGCGCTCAGTTGGCTCCCCCGACTTTGTCGGAGACGCTGGCGGCCGCGGGGGCACGCAACTACCGTTGGCAGCAAGCAAACTCAAACTGGGAATCAGATCGAAGCTGCGGACACGTGAACCAACCGACGGCTGCACTTTCTACCTGACTGTTGGGTAACCCCATCTGGAAATGCGGACCGCCCTGTGCTCAGCATGTCAAGAGTTTTCTGAGTTAGTTTAACTACATCACCACGAGCCTCGTACCCTTGCGTTCTTGTAGGTTTATAGCGGATTGTAAGAACGGAGAGAAACGATGCTCGTAAGTGTTAGAAACGTCGGCGGCTTATTGGGAGGCCTGAGGTAACATCCGAACGTTGATGCCAAAGGACTGCAAATCAAAGTCAGAGGCATAATGTGAAGGGCTGTGGCTTAATCACATTTCAATTAATGAACCCTGTATAAAAAAAAGGATATAAATCTATCTTCAGCTGAGTCAGCGAAACGCGTAATAGAAAAGCGACACGGTACAATGTTTGCGCCGAAAATATATAACCTAATAGGTGGAAGGGTGTGCTTTAAAAAAAGTTTCCGTAAATTTTACTACCATAGCTAATTCAAGTCGCTTGTTCAAGCTCGCCCAGAATACGTGATATGATACACTTCTCGCATGAAGGGCGATGTCTCTTTATTTACTTTGTCAACAGGATGGATTTGTATACCTTTTAATTTAAAATAAAAAACTTAACGAAGAATTATAAAGGACACTCAGTGCTTAACCAGTATTTGCCCAGAAGAATTAACTATGCCTTTATTAGGTGTCTTTTATAGATGTCGTCAAGTTTGAACTTTCCTTCTTTTCAATATAGACACAAGATAGAGTAATAAAAGAGGTGTGCTCGATCAGTAACTACACACACGTTTTATATAGAGATGCATGTGCAATTTTTATAAATTGGTATTAACTACGTCTTACGTAACTACTCAATTCTGCGATTGGTGACGTAGATCAATAACGTCCAATGCACTGTTTTGTACTACTTATCGGATGGTTTACAGCTTATCTAGTACTAATTGGTAAAGATGCTTTTCACACAAGAGACAACCATTTGGGTTCTCTTAATATGCTTCTGATTACGGACGTTTTACTTAGTATAGATAGTACGGTAATGAATGCTATGCCCAAAGGCCAAAGCACTGAGCCCCGTTGAACATCTGCTATCTGTACTTGATGCCTGAGTACATTTGAACGAGAGTACACAATAGAAGCACCTTTTGCGTGAATCGCTTATATATATATATATATATATATATATATATATCTATCTCTAAGTTTCAACTGCTGTATTGTACATGGATGCAGGTAGTGGGCGCGTGGTGGGCACATTAGAACCATACTTGAGTACTCTTTTCCGTATCACTTGAGACGAATGCATGTTGTCTGCGGTCACCATGCCTATATGCGTAAATTTTATTCCTTATTCGCAACTTTATTTTATGGCCAATTGTTTAGACACCGCTAAAAAAGAAAAGATAAGGACATCTTAACACTTTTACGTGTGAATTAAACCCACTAGATTATGGTTTAAAGAATGAACCGCTTTAATAAAATCATCCGTTGGTCAAGCAGGAAAAACCAGGCTTTAGATCAGCCATTTTTAAGAATGTTATCTCAGTGCACATACGTCTCCGACGTATAGCGTTTCATTCAAGCCGACACTTGAAAACTTTTGATCGCGTACAGTTTCTATGTCTTCTAGAGAATGGTACGAAAAGGATACATCGGTAAAGAACCTATACTCTTGCTCCTCGCTTTGTATTTTACGGCGATATAGATATGCCTATGAGAAGTAGCCTTTTTACCTCCAATCTCATTTTTAAGCATTTTAGTCTATTACCAAACAATTTCAGCAGCAAGCTGATTACCTGTATACTATAGAAAGGCTATGAAACTAACATGTTTACCTGAAAAATGTGTGTGGCACTAAGATGCGAAGTTGCATATTGTACATAGTAATGTTTTTTTCTTTGTTTTATAAATTAGAAGTGATTTGATTTGAATTACCAAGGCCGCCTTCGTAATGGTAACTTCGATAAAATAGTTTTGCGTATCGCACGTTCTCTTTTCAATTTAGGCTGGTACGAACGTGTGTCGGCTACAAGTAGGTCACGTTGTTAGTACGAAGAATACTTCCTGTGCCTCTGAATTCAAATCGAGATCGCGCGTTTGCCCCACCCTATACGTATACAGATGGTGTATATGCAGTACTTTTGTGGTCAAATGTGCAACCTTACAGTGCATCAGCATGAAGAGCTTGACCAAGTTTAACATTCCGGCCATGTCCTAGGTACATCGTGTACTTCCGGTCTGTCAAATATCAGATCCTACGCGATTTCGTATTAATCCACAGCCCCTCCTCAGATCCTATGAAACAATGGACCTCCTGCCATACTTCTTTACCTCACCCCTTCACACATGCAACGTAGTTTACCCTGTCTTGACTGTTCGGTTTCCAACGACCGTGCACCTCTCTTGAGACTTCAAGTACTCTTATTCCAGAAGTAATTTACGAATGGTGGTTTCAGGAATATGACAGTTTAACCAGGTGGACAGCTGTTTTAGCCTTGCAGCTCTGAAAGCCATAATAATAATATTGTATGTGTGGGTTAGCCATTAAGGTGGATTTTTAGATTTTTTAAGTTGGACTTTAAAGCTGTTGAACCTATCGTCTAAAGATGAATGATTACAGTGAACGGAAGGTTTATTTCTATTGTTTTTATCTGTTATATAGCTTACCTTCCGTGTGTGTTCGGTTTGTTTTCTGTTTCAATTCCGGCTGTGTCTCTTCTGTACCGAGCGAAACTGTATTAATATCCTCAAGCGAGATAATGTCGAATTTACATTGTTCACTTCTTTGTTTGTTTGCTCGTCTTCTTTGCATGTCCCTTACTTTGAGCTTTTCGACGAGATCTGCTCACAGAAAACGGCTGCCGTATACGTTAATTAATGTATTTTACTTGGCCCCATAAGCTAACTAGTAAAATTACCAGCCAGCACTATAAATAATCGTAGATAATATCGTTTATAATGCTATTTCTAAGTAAATACCTAAGACAGCTTAGTACAGCGCCTGAATATTGTTCGTCGACGGTTAGTCTTTTCCAACGTCATCTTATTGCTTGTTCCATAGTCGTATTCCTGTCGAATCAAACAAAACGATAGACCGCACTGTTAGAGACATTGCAACATGTCAGAATACCCACAGCTGTTAATGTCAGAACCGTTCCTGTTTAACGTTGGAAAAAAGCGATAAAAATCTATGTACAAAATGCACCTCCTTACGGGGTCATGGATGGCCACGACGTACGAGCGTAGTTTTATTGTGAACGCATTGCGAAGCACGCTATTCGATGATGCCCAAGGATTCGAAGCCGAAATGCTACAGCTAAATACGAATGTGCTATCGTAATATGATCTACATGTTTGCAAACGGAAGCCATTACCCTATTAAGAGCAAATCGGTCCCTTTTGCTAGTAATGTAAGGGATCCTTTACCTACAATTAGATACGGCACCTACCTCGGATGACTCTTATTACTCATGGAGTCAAAGAAAAAGGTAAATAAATGAGGAGAAAAAAAATACAGGCAAAACAAGCTGGAGTGTCGTACGTTTGCACGCAGCTGACTCGGTCAGAGCTAAAACCACAGCTGAAGGCATATTCCCCCATAGGCAACTCACTTTCGAAGAGTGTATGATATCTCTACGAACGGCATGATTGTACGGGACAATACGATCAGATGTTTCAGGGTTGACGGTTTAGTATGCCCAATACATATCTAATTTCCTTCCTGTATTTGCTTCCTTGCCGTTTCAGGGTGCCAGGTGATTCCCGTCGAATACATACACTGGTATGATACTGATTCAATAGTAGCTATTTCTATATCGGTGTGTGGTATTATCGCTACTTTAACCGTGATGGTGATCTTCATCTGTCATAATAACACACCAGTGGTGAAATCCTCAACGCGCGAACTATCTTACATCATTATGGTTGGCATGTTCGCTTGCTACTGCTCGGCATTCTTCCTCATCGCGTATCCGAGCGTGCTCACTTGCAGCTTCACACGGGTCCTACCTGGTCTCAGTTTCGCCATGATGTATGCTGCTCTCGTCACGAAGACCAACAGAATAGCATGTATTCTCGCTGGCTCTAAGAAGAAGATTATCACGAAGAAGCCACGTTTCATGAGCGCTTCCGCACAGGTTGTCATAACCTTACTGCTCATCGGTGTCGAGGTCGGAATCATTGTCACGCTGATCGTGTTCGAGCCGCCAGATGCCAAATATGACTATCCCGACCTGAGTCGAGTTAAAATCATCTGCAATACAACCACGTTGGGCATTATCGCGCCACTTGGTTTTGATTTCTTTCTAATCGCCATGTGCACGGTCTATGCTGTGAAAACGCGAAACGTGCCAGAGAATTTCAATGAGGCCAAATTTATCGGCTTCACTATGTATACGACACTTGTCATCTGGATGGCCTTTGTACCTATATACTTTGGCAGCAAACATAGAGTAAGTAGAAAGGTTAACCTTGTACAAAGTGATCATAGTATTTGCAGCTGATCACGTTTCGAACAGTAGCGCCTTTCCTTAACGTAATCGACTAATAAGTACTCTGCTAACTTTAGCAGGTTCTATTCAAGTTTCGCTTTATAGTCAAATCGGGATTAGTTTAACTTCTAAAAACATACACTCTGCATTTAGTCAGGAGTCAAATACACAATCAGGAGTAGGGAGGGTGCTGATCGCTACGAAATAGGTTAACCTTACTCGATTCTTTGTTTGGTTGCCTGCTCACACAGGTGATCACGCTATGCTTGTGTATCTCATTTTCGGCGTTGGTCGCTTTAGTACTACTCTTCCTACCGAAGGTCTATATCATTTTATTCCGACCAGAAAAAAATAACCGCTCAGCATTTACAACAGCCAAGGACGTCCGATGCCACATAGGCTATATAAACTCGAACGTATCGAGAAACTCCTCTCACTCCGCTTCGGAATTCTCAATGGGATCGCCAAGGTGAGTGGTACGATTTCATCAGCTTCACGACAACGCTCACAAAGTTTACAGTTTTGGAAGCTTAAAAAGTTACAAAGCTTAGGGAAAACCTTCAACACGTCAACAGGCTGATAGCATCGACAACAGCAATATGGTACAGATAATAACCACTTTTTGAAGAGGACCGCGGCATCGCTTCAACGGTAGGCAGATGTTGCGAGTTGACAGTGAAACAAACGTACGAAAGGCTTAGCGCTACTAAACTTTTATAAATACGTTTTAGATATATTGTAGGTTGCAGTCCGGAAGGCCGAAAGGCGCTGCTTAATGTAGAGAGTAGGCTAATAGTAAGTACACAGATTCATACTCTGCCTGCATTATTCATGAAGTAGCAATGCTATAGCTGGCGTTTAAAGGATTCCTCCTAGGAAAAATATGATAAAGCCTGTCTTGTTGTGTAAAAGAAAAGCTAAATTCGATTGTGAAAGTGACCAATCTTTGTGCGTTGCTCGCAATAAACCGGGCGGCACAAGTTTGGGACAAATAAAGCTCTCTGAATTTGTAAGGAACTACTATGGGATCTCTCTTTTCAGAGCGGATAATGCATAGTGCTTGCTATTTATGATTGCTACTTCTTGTGGTGCCACCCTGACAATGGCTACAACTACAGTTAGCAGCTTTTTGTTACAAGCTATCGTTATTGTCTTTGCCTTCTCGACAGTTGGTTACTACTACCCTGCTGATCTCCCAGACGGAGACAGGGTAATGATGAACGATTATTTCGCTAAAAAAAATAGCTGTTACAGCCGTCCTGTCGTTGTCGTAATCTGGACTGAAATATCCCGCAGCCAGCTATTTAGCTTCCGTTTACTCGCTACGCTATTGTTCACTAAATGACTGTGTATGCGTTCGGTTGGGGCCTCGTATGAAAGTATCAGCCTGACTGCCTTGCCCTTTGATATTCGCTTTGACTTATCTTTTTCGCTCTCAGCAAGCCTACAACTGTAGAAAGCCTCGTTATCAGGCCATGAATATTAGCCGCCTTCCCAGTACGTTGTCTTGCTTGCCTGCAAAGCAGGCACACCCCGACATCTACATCCCGACGGCTGCTGAGCCATTAGCAGTTATCAGGGAGTACAGCGTTGGTTGACGACGCCGATGTTGCTTTGTAAAGGCACTCCAGCTTGAGCGTACTGCTCGCCGAAACACTTTTCGACACCCCTTCTAACGACGCTCGTGCCGATGCGTCAATAGCACCACTGCTGCTGGGACCACAGTCAGCAATGCTGTATTGGCGCTTATCTGCTCAATAGACGCATCAGCAGGGTCCATGTACATCAACGGCGACGACGACGACGACGACAGCAGTTTTAGCAGAAAGAATGGAGTAGCCAATACGCGGACGGCATCAGTTTGAGGAAGCGATCCGATCGGCTTGGTGCGTCCTTGTCGGAATCAGGGAATTCTCGAAGTTCGATTGATTTCGGATCACGAACGGGACGAGCAACAGGGTTAGTTGGGGAGGCGCCGCAGACGAAGAATTTTAAAGGAAAGGTCTATATGAAGCGCCCTAGCTTTGGCGCTGTTTCCTCCTGAGTGCCAATGAAGAAGGTTTCGGGGCGTACTGGTACGATCCGAAGACAAGTGGCAAGGCAGCGACGATGATAGACAGCGAAGCGTCTTAGCTCGTGCTCGAAGCCTTTTGCTTTTGTAGTGCGAGTAAAAAAGAGACAGAGGGTGAACGATGGCCGCTACGAGGTCCAATAGGTCCCTACTCTGATTCTCCGATAAGTTGTGTCACGGTTTTCCTGTAGGGGATAACACTCGGTCAGTCTACCATTCCACTGGACACATTCTGTTACTGGTCATTTGGCCTTTTACCTTTTGCTTCGCGACGTCATAATCGACATTTCCGTCCTTTTTCTTTTTAAAGTAAAAATTTTCACAGTAAAAAAGTTCGGCTGTAGTTTTCAGTGTTGACAAGGCGCCTAATCAAATCACTGTAGGAGAATTAAGAGTTTCGAAGCTATTATACATAATAAAAGTAATTTGCTACATGTAATACAATAAAAACAGGAGACTTTCACATTGCTTGTTTCTAATCGCGGACATCCTTACTTTGAAATTCACTAGGACCTTAATTTTCGTTCCTCATATTAGCTAGTTCGTATATATCTATGTACACGCTCTACTGGCAGCCTTTTATTTACAAATTGCCAGCCAGAGTTCATTACCTGCCTATATTATGAACTTGAGTACGAAACCTTTGTTGTTGTCTTAACATAACTAAGATAAACTTCGTTAGGTCACCGAATACTTACGAGGTCGGGATAGGACGAGTCAAGTACTTTTCGTATACAGAGCCCTGTTTTCATAGCTTTTCTGATATCTCCTCGCTGTGCTTATTCACTTCGCGTCCTTCTAGCTCGAAGCCCGTGTAAAATGTCTCTGGTGTTCTTACGCTGTATTGCTTAGAGTGCTATGTTTAGCGTGAAGCTGTGACGCAAATCGCCGCTCACTTTTGACGAGGCAAGAAAGGCCGCTATCAACACTATGAAGCACATGACAGAGACTTCAGCCGCATTAATGGCAAAATAATAGAGCCATAACTGAACTTAAGTTCACTGGCGCGGTTCTTCACTTGAAACGGATTTTGCCCCACGTTAGAATGCCTTGACAACAGAGATAACCAGATACTTCGAACTAGCCGGGGTAACTGCGGGCTTTTGTTTTCTATCTGCTTGATGTTAGTGATGTGTAGGATTAAATTTGTTCTAAACTATTCGCTAGCGTTTCACATTTAAATGTGTTCTTGTTTCGAGCACTTCTTCGATTGTATTTTCTCTTAGTCAGCAATTACAAACTTTGTTTGCTAACCGGTTAGCCTCGGTCAAGAGACTATATTTACCGTCTGAACCAAGCCGGTATTCCACCTTACGCGTTCAAAGTCGTGGCTGCATTTTGCCCTGTTCCTCTTTCTAATTGATTCTGCCCTAGCCGACTTCGACGGTAAAGGAAACTCGCCAGAGTCCAATGCCATTGTCGTTGCCCTAACCACACGAAAATCGCGCGACGTACAATACAGCTTTGTGTTGAATCCTGCTTCCGCTGCTGCAGCTCTTTTTCAGCGATGCCAGTCATCAGCCACGATCCAGTCCGTTATTAAGAAACCGCCTCTGCCGAAGATGACAACGAAGACTACATTGAAAAAGAAGATAAAGAAGACAAAGCCGTCACCTCGGCCGGTGTCCCCACGCTAAAACTCATTGGTTCTGGGCTTTCGGGCGTCAAGAACTACTGGGTATTATTCACACGCCGTTGAACCTGAAGGAGAAGAAGTTAGGACGTGATAGGGGAGGCTTTAATGAGCCTGCAAGCGAAGGTCGAAAGGGCGATTTCGTCCGCTGAATAGTCGGCAGGGCGGCAGAACTTGGCCCAGAAAACATTTCTCATTTCGCACACGCTCGCTAAGGTCGATGATGATAGGTGGCGGTAAGTAATAGCTGGCTGCGTGCAGGCTGATTCCACTGTTAGACAAGTAGAGGCAATGCCACGCTTCGCAAATGTGCTGGCTTTGTTCCGCCTTGGTCCAACGGGACTAGCATAAGTGGAGATAGCATAGCAGCGTAATGGTAATGATGAGAATGAAAAACTCCTGGACCTTGCTGGCTTCCACGCAGACGTCCACGCATAGAGTTATGATCAACATACGATTTGATTCTAGTCATTGTTCATATTATATCAGTAGCGACAATCGTATACAATAAAACAAAGCTCGCCAGTGGTTCTATAGTCAGCCCGTCAGTGCATTATCGTCTTGCGGAGTAGTGGTGGTAGGTGGTAAGGAGCAAACCGCTAACCGAAGACTCCAGCGGTCATACACATGGCCAAACATTGACTGGCCTAGAGTTTCTGTGGTTCCCAAAATAAGTTACGCAATACAACTTGTTGCAATCTATTGTGTATATTACCGAGGAATGTTCCGACTAAATAACAAACGATTACACGACAAAATTAGGTTGTGCGTATTATTTCAGATCATTTAATAAAATAAACTTTTCTAAAGTTTCTTGTGAAAGTATTGCTCGAATAATAAAAGAAGGCTAGAATACAATACCCAGGAATTACGGCTTTATGTCTGACAACGTACTAACTTGAAAGCTTGAAATGGATGGTTACGAAAAGACCCGATAAAGTAGCATGGGTACGTGAACTCTTTCTTGGCCGTAAAACACACTGGCCTCGTCCTAGCCCGATACCTCCGCAAGCTCTGCAGTTGCTACACTTGGAAACGAATTGTTGCCTGCACTGTGAGAAACTGTAGGGGTTTTGCCATGCATTGCATCGTCACTATATACGAATTTGTCGAGCTAACGGCCAAAACAAAGCTTCGTGATGTTTTGCAATGCAGATACCGATTAGTCCTATGGCGTTAGTTCGCAAACCATTTGGGATCCTCAACGCATAGAATAGTATGTGATAAGTGGCACGGCGCTACCAGCAGACGAGGAATAGCAGATTCAGGATGAGCCTTCCTTCTTGCTCGCCAGCTCGCAGAAAAAGGTGGAGTATAAGGAAATTTTTTTACCCGTTCCAAGGCAATTTATTGCTGGAAGAGCATTACAATTTAAGCCAAGCTAATAAAAAGCCAAACAGAGAATAGCGAAGGAATACGTGCAATATAATTGAAACAAATCTTATTTGTAAAATTTATTTCTTTTATCCCTTTGTTTTATACACCATACAGTCTACGTCGGTTGTATGTGTTCTTCAACCGATTTATATATCTCACTTGGTCATGTTGAAAATGTTTTTGTTTCGCTATATATCGGTTGCTACTGCTTTTCGTCATCATGTCATCGTTCCATCTACTATTCACAAAATAACTGGTGGCAATAGAAGTTGTTAGATTTCTACCAACAGATAACATCTCACATGTCAGCCTACAGGCTATCAGCTTAATACAACCAAATTAGGTTGCTAAAACCCAAAAAAATACGGGCAACCTCATATGAATACAACAATAAAATTGGAGAAACGTTTAAACTTTCAAAAAGTTCTAACTTTTGAGCTTCTGAGGAAAACAACACCTCCTAGGAATAACACAATGCTAGGTAGATAGCACGAAGCAGGAAGAAAATTTCTCATCCGCAAGGGATATATATCAGGCCTCTTCAGTACTATATCAAGGGGCGTCAAATCACAAATATAGCATGACCCGAATACACGAAGTCTATTTTTGATATAGACACAACTTCGTTACGGACAAATGACAGGTGTGTTTGTGGTCTGCATAGGTTCAAGGAAAAATTATCTATTTAGTGTATTATTATGAAGTATGCACTGGTGCTATATATCTATATAGAGTTGAACAGCCATTACATAGCTAGCACAGTGTTATCTGTATGTCTGTGTATATATATATATATATATATATATATATATATATATATAGGATATAGAAGAAAAGATAATGCAGCATGTCTTTGTCCAACACGCTAAACAAAATAAGCGAAACGCTGCAAAATGTCAGATGGGCAAAAATTTCAGTCATTCTATTCTTCGGCTTAGATATGTATTGCTTGTCCTCAAAGGCTAATGAATAAACATCGTCATGCGATCGCTGTTAGTCTTGCAAAACGTAAATCGCCTACGAGCTAAACCAACGTATGTGATGGTCAAGTACAACTAAAACAAGTTTATTTCTCATTTCTGGGAAATCCGTAGTGGCTGTACTTGCGGAACTCCTCGTCCCGCTGGTAGAGTTGCTGACAAATCCAGTCATTATTGAAAGGCCCAGCCTGGCCACCATACTCCTCGGGAAGTATCTCTGGGTCGATGTGCTCATGCAGCGACGTCATATCACTGCCGTGTAGATGAATCCGCTTCATAATTTTTGGCTTAAGGAAGGGTCGAATGCACGCATAGATGTAGTCATACAGGCCCGGCTGGTTGACCACATGAATAGCCTTGAAACGAGCAGGAAATGCATCCTGAACGGTATGTACAAGTACCTGAATGTAAAAAAAGAGAGAAAAAATATTTAAAAATATATACAGGACCCGCGTCCGTTGTGCTTCGGATTTTGATGCCCGCTACTACAGCTAGGCATTGCTTTGGACACTTGACTTCTCCCAGCATGGAACGAAGTCTTTCTCCATTTGGTCTCAGACCTTTTAAGTTTAGTAGGTCAATGTTTAGGAGAATATCCTGAGAAACACCGATAGACACACCCTGGAGGACGGGAGTTTCAAGTGACGGCACTTTAAAGAAAATATGTATATATAAATTTGCTTTTAAAGTATCTGTAGCCTGCAAAACTGCGGGCATTAGCGATCAGACAGACGAATCATTTATTGGTGGGGGCACAGGGCAATTAACTGTAAGGTTGCAACAGAAAAAACTACAGCTATAATAAACTTCGGCAGAGTAGGCGGAAAAGAAGGTAAGTGAATTGCCCACGTTCAGTTAGATGTGCTATTCAAAAAGAACCCCCATGCCCACCCAAACGTGCCAATACCCGGTCTACCAATGGTTCACCCGCGTACTAGTCACTGGTCACAGAGTGCAATTCAGGGGGGAAGGGGGGGGATGGGCATTGTCTTAGAGCACGTTTAAACCGAGATCCTGATAGCCTTCAAGACCGAGTCATCCCGTGAACAAATTTTAGGTGTCTTAAAAGTAATTTGCTGATTATACCGCTGAGACTTCACCATACTTACCATTAGGATTTTCTTCAAAATTTACTCTTTACATCAAGTCTTATATTTTAACATGCACATATATTTACAGTTTAGTACAGGATTTTTACTTATAGCAGGACGCTGATATACAACCAGTTGCCATATTAATAGCAACCAATACCTTGTAGTCTGATCAGGAAATACTTGTTTTCAATGTCAAGCTCTTACTGCGTACGCATCAGTATCTCAAGGACGAGAAGCAAGCCTGTCCTATCTATTGGACCATACCGCAGGTCAGTAAAATGTCTCAAGGACGCCAGAATCCGAAAATAAAATAGCTAATTAGGTAGTTGTCGCTGCTACTATTTTTCTACTTGCATTTTTCTGCTTGCTATTATTTTTGTTGTAAGAGGAAAGGCATCCCCAAAACTTCACAGCAAATAGAGATGTCGGGTTTATTATTTGCTAGTGACATCGTTGTACTAGTTCTACAGCGGCTTACTGCTGCTTTCCTTCAACGGCTATGGACTTTACCATCTTTCAATAATGAAAGAGATACTGTTTTTTGCCTGAGACGAATACAATGTCAATATCGTCCAACCGCAATGTCTTAGGCTATTATCTGATTTTATACGACAGTGAGAGATTTAAAGAAATAAAAGTTTTGTTTATTCTTGTAAGTAAAAGGTCTTGCTCACGGGATATTTCATATTTTACCACGAGTCACTTCAACGGGCACAAAATCCTTCGAACGCACGCTAAAATTCGGTATACTCATTAACCTCTCATCTGTTCACGTAGGTCAATGTCAGCAAACGCCAGTGTTCCTATAATCAGCAACGAGGTGCCAAGTGCGTATAACGGTCGTCACAATATTCTTACCGATAGCAGGAGTTCGTTTCTATTATGATAATACATCTAAATAACTTAAGAGCACTGGAACCTAGCTAATCCCAATTGGCCTGATACGGACGGCTTGCACAGAACATTTTGCGGACTCGCTTGCGGATAAGCGAGTCCGCAAAATGTAGGCTCGTCTACCATATTGGCACAAAGCATTGAAACATGTGTTATTGGCCAGCCCTACTAGTTCATAGCGCCTACCTAAGTTTATTGGTCCCTACCAATATTAGCATTCTCCATCTAGGTGTCAGTCCGTCATCATTTAATTGTAGTCTTGCCAATGCCGTGGTGATTCATTTATCACTGATCGACTTCCGAAATGGCCAGTAGGCCACCAAATCCACAGTACAAATGGAGTATCGATTAAGCAATATTGATAGCCAAAAAGCCAACTATAGCACTATCAAATGCGCACAAGCGTCGGCTGAACATCTTGCGAGCTGCTATCTTTGGATCAATTTACTATCTGATAGAAAAGGGGCATGACAGGATTATACACTATAGCTTCGGTGTTTCTGTGACGATAAAAACGTGGGCAACTGCTTCTGTGTCAATACAGTATTTTGTTCGTCCATTATTCATAGGCCGGCTGGCTGGCTGGCCACAGAAGCAATTCGTTCTCTGCTATTATTATTACGCTTCGTAAGATCAGAAGGGCATCCAACGAACCCTGTCTGGAGGTAGGGGCAGACCGTGTGGTGCCGCACGATTACTGTGCCGTGCTTCTGTGTGGTCCCGTCTATGTCGTCCTTGAATTACGATTGTCCGTCGCAGGTTAACGAGCCCCGCATATCGTTGATAAACGCAATGGCACAGTTACAGAAACTTGTATATTGATCACGACAGGACGCCTTTTCATCATGTATTATATAATAAGCAGAAACGATAGAAGGAATGATAGTAACATAGCAGTGAGTATTTTTTTTTCAATTCAATTTTGAGGAAATATCGCGACACGGCAGTAGAGATAATAATGCTTGATCATGTGTTGACGCTTCGACAGTGCTGTCTTTAACGTATTCTTATATTTTAAGCACTTCAGTATGCCATTCTTTGAAACCGTCTGAAGCTAGCGACATGGTTGTACAATGGAAAATATTTCAGATGGCGTTTGTTTTTCTATTGTAGAAGATAAGCTACAAATGGTTAGGAAGGATGTTATATTTTGATTCGTTGATCTTACTGCTTCTTCAATACACAAATATTGCCACGAGAAAATCGAATGGCTGGACCACAGAAATTCGTTGTGTAAAGGAAACTGAAGGACGTCGAAACGTCGTTTACCTTTAATCTTTTAATGGTAAAGGACGCGCCGAGTAGATCGGCACGATGTTTTTCTGTTGACTGACTATTTGCTCGAACACACGACATTAAGTTGTTAGTTAAATATCTTCCTTGAAGCGTATATATGTCAATGTAAGAAACGCGACAAACGATCGTCTGGTCCAAATAGTGCAAACGTATTGGGCATGATGCGATTCGGCCCCGGCCGACCGGGTCACTATGGTTGTTACAGCGTGAAAACGATAGCAAGCAAAGGCGCTATATTTGCTTCTTCGGTTCGCCGATTTCATAGTTCTAGTTAGATTATGTTTTCTTTTTAAATTGCCACATTGTGATGCAACACAATTTAGTTATTGTTCTTTTTTTCGGATTCGGGATTTGGTCAGGATTCGGTGGTAAGCAGATTCCTTCCTTTGCTTCATTATGCGCTACCTGTTGCGCTAATGTTGCCATTGGATACCCATCCAAAAGACACAGAAACATGAAGATACCGGTAGTTCGGTGGCATTTAGTGGCTGTACCAGGCAAAACAAGTCGCCGCAAGATTGCTTCCTTGTAGTTAGTTGCTAGTGGTCTTCATATTCTCTTGAGAATTTTTTTTCGGAGTTATTGCATTAAAAATGAATTATCTCTATCGCAGCAAGTCCCGCACCACATAACGTAGTTTTTTTTTCTTTTTGTTTTTACTCATCGTATCGCACCGTAGCGTAGATTGTTCGGTCGAATTCACACGCTCACCAGCGTGCATACACACACAGCTTGTCATTGGCTGATATGGTACTACAATGTTGCTCATGACGCTGCATATAATACGGTGCGCATATACAAGGAAAACGCACGATCACCCATCGCCCGCTCCATTCCTCTGTTCGCCCTAAGCTACAAGGAGCCAGCCAATAAGAAACTGAGATCATTCAAAAAATGCAAGAGTTGGCTCGACCCTCGAAGAGACCGATATTATATATTCCTGTCACTGTTCACTCGTCTTCAAAGGCTTCTAGGAACGATACAGCCGACGGCGGTGAGGACAGGCAATGCTGGTCAGCCCAAGTCAGATTTCGCCCGCTATGCTAAAAAGACATGTTAACCAAGAAACGCAGTTAACAATAGTTTGACGGCAGGCTGTTACCAGCGTCAGCCGTAAAATAGTGGGCGTATTAGCGTGGTAGCGGACGCCGACATCTGGTGAACAGAATTTATCGGACTGTCTGTTATAGTACAGCCGGCTATAAACTTACAGAGGGTTATGGAGTTTTGGCTTTTTGATTTTCACGTGGATAAATATATGGAATAGGCGAGATGAGATGAACACAGAAACAAGCCAAACGGTCAAATCAGTAGACAAGCTCACGAAAGCTAACCGCAAGTCGACAAAGGGTTTGGATGAAACTTTTGGTAACATAGTGCGTATTATACTTGATATAGATAGTATAATCTTCACAAAATCACAAAATTATATCTGTAGATAATTGCCAATCGGACAAATCTATCGTATTACAAATAATAGTGCATACTAATCACATATATAAGCCAAACCATACCCATGCACCAGGATAGGCTTATAACGGACTACTTGTGTATAACATGCTAATTTTTAATTACTTCCTCTGGTCGTTTCGTGTAATACTAAGCTTCTACAATTAATGAGTATACCGTTGCCAATTGGCAGATATCATTTACCGCCGTTCCTTGTAGTCAACTGATCCACGAGCGAACCTTACCTTAAAGACAGTAAGCTTAAGGTGGGGCAGCATTGACCACGAGATCCCGTTTCCATCAATGATCAGATGTATGCCTCTGTTTTGCACAATTGGTTCCCTGAGAACCTGTTCAATCATCCAGTACGATGGGGTGAGGTGATCGGCCAGATCCCATTCGGAGCTTCCGGGAATCCAATCGCCCATCCTCCAGATGTAGACCGTGCACCCGTCAATCGGGTTTCGATGACGCTGCATGGTGACGTTGTTCATTTCGTAGAAGCGAACGCGGTCGAGCGGCGCTACCCCCACGGGGAACATAATGTTTGGATAAGAGGAACGAACCTTATAGTAGCGCTGGTAGCATTTGAACGCCCGATCAACGTCGTACTTTCTCGATCGGAGAAAGCAGAGAAGAAAGAAATCGTCCTGTCGAAACCTGCCGTCACTGAGTTTAGTCTGAATTTTAGCGCGTAGGTTCTTAAGACTACGCTCACGAAGGCCTGGAGTTTCCCCAAGGTCATTGTCAATTTGTCCTTCTTCACCCTGCCAAGCGGGAGCCACTTCTCTGACCGTCATAGCGCTGCTCCACGCTATTTTTACAAGCGCTAATATTACTCGTATTGTATTCAATGATATTGTAGCAAGAAAGGCGTAGCTGCTTGATTTTTGCGAAATTAATTTTCCGTAGATTTCTGGTGGTAGCAATCGGGAGTAAAGCTAGCGCGTACCAGATAACAGGTTGCTATTTCTATATGGGAGTAGTCGTTGGCACCTTTGGCGCTATTGCTTTTTTCTTAGGGGCCACGCGCTTTTGGCGTCGTTTCCCGCTTATCGCTGTTCCACCGGGGGTTACTTTCACTGGTTATTTTTCGTTTTCTGTCCACTAAACTGAGCCATATACAGCCGTCTCACAATCGGAATATACAAATGCTAGGGAACCATATAGTAGCAGACCTCACACACACACACCTCATCCTCAAGCAGTAAACTAGGCAAAGCTGTACGCGGGCCAGAACGATCGATGCACAAGTTCACTACGACAAATACTAGCGAGTGAAGCGGATACCTTCTATGTCATTTTCTATGTTGTATTTTTTTAAGAACCACACGCTGTCGTCACGTCATGCCAACCCTAAAGCGTATTGATACCAATCGAATCGACCACCCATCTGCAAGTCTCAGTTGTTCTCACCGCAAGTAACCCATGAACCCAGCTCAACATCGCAGAGCTAGCAGCTTGCCGCCAGGGTTCCGACAACGGCTCGCAGCTGGCAAGGGAATATGAACAGCTGCTTTGCTACCGGTAAGAGGCTCCATTGGCTCGCTGGTTGCGACTGGGGTCTACTGCATTGGGCTCCAGCCAAAAGTGTCCAGCTACTACTTCTCAAGGGCGCAAATCGAGCAGCAGCAGCGGCACTGCCAAAACGCAGCGTGTCATTTGCATAAAATCACAACAACAACAACAACAAGCATAATGGCAGCTAAAAGCAAACGATAACCATGCTAACAGCGAACCCAGTAGAATGGCCATTGCAAGAAAGGTGGGTTTTAACAACTGTGAGCTACAAAAACAACAACTCAACATGTTGATTAGCGGGACGACAGTAATCGTTGCTATTCGAATGACATTAATAACAATAATAATAATAATAAGGAGAAGCAGCGGACCAGAAGTATAATGACCCAGTACTGGTTATGGCTTGCATCACCGTTTACTAATATGAATACCAATAATGATTATCATCAAGCTGCCGGTCCGCTCGGGTCTTGTACTGTTACATCTAACATATTGTACACGTGCAGCTACCTATAAGCGCTCCAAGCAGAACGGAATCAATTTTCAGAATCAAGCAAAAAATCATAGGTCTAGAACAGGGTAAAGTATCATATCATGAAATCCTGTATTCGAACCCCTCCAACAATGTTTTCAATCATCTAAGTTATATTAATGTCAGTTTATTACGAAGTTTCAATGACATGTACATAAACTGATATAAAGTATATAGCATTAGGAGAAAGGAAGTTGCGAGACAAGAACATATTAAATTTAAAATATGGTCATAACTTTTGGAAACCAAACGCCAGTGTTCCGTTCTGACTTCTTTACTTTATCGAACAATTCTTCTGAATGTAACCGCCATGGCCTTTAGGGTCACGCGACTTTTGCAGATACAATGTACAATTTCTAGGTGTGTTAAAGCCGACGTCAATGTCTTAGGGAAATTCGACAAGGGTTCTGTTACCGCCAGCAGCGAAACTGACATCGTTCCTTAAACATCCCGCTACAGAGCTTTTCGTTTTTTTTTTGCACCGCTTCTGATGCGGCACTCTTCGGGACGATGTTTCAGTGACAGCGAATTGCCACTACTGCTTTTGACATGTTCTAAAATGGAGCCCTTCAAATCGATTCTGTCACCCTCACAGGCTTATAGTTAGGCAGATTATGAGCCTGACGTTACTCGGTCAAGTAGCTTAGTCAGATTCGACGTGATAGCTGTTAACGAAGTCCGCTCACGTTCCAAATACAATTTTCTTTTCCTGCCATTTCTAGATAGTCTCACGAGCTATATATATATAAATATGCTTTTCTCAGGCCAACAAGTCACTGGGACATATCTATCTTCAGGTCAGTAGAATATATTGTGAACTCGTCACATTTTTATCAAGACCGCCAATGCATGCTTTGTGAGGAGTCGAGCGAAATTAAACGACATAAAAGGTAAAGACAAAAAGTTACCTACCAAAATATTCTGTGACATAAATTTTATGCCTTTCTATTGTTATACAGAATGCGATTGTATATGTACAGCCCTGCTACGGACCATCTCAAAATTAAAAGTAATAGTTTTTTACGTTCTTCGAAGTTTATGGTTATTCACGATAAAGGTACAAATACTTAATGTGCGTGAAACGTAATAACCATTTAAAAACGAAAGCCTGATGTACGATGTATAAATGTAACCTAAGCCCTCGATAGATCCCGTTGATTCCAATTCAATGGTTGAAGAAAAGTTCCTTCATGTAAACTGGTTGAGCCATGGCCGTAGAAATGTGAAAGGAGGCTCCATTCGTGTCGGCATGCCTTCGAAGTGTTTCGGTTAGCTCGATCATTTATACACTTAGCCATTGAGGCATATGCCTTAAAGATCTTCGTTCGGCTCCGTAAAGCAGGACGATCATTCATGTAATAACAGGCAGTAGACTACAGACTGACTTTACTAACTACTATGCAGGGTTATGAGTCCCCTTGATGGCGCAATGATAACGTGTTTGTGCGTTAAACTTAGGGACAGTTGAGGTAGTATAAATTGGAAAGGTGGGAGAAAGCACACATTGTGTAGTGCAGTGAGCATGCCGCCTAAAGCAATGCTTGATGGTAATATTGGCCGTACAATTTGAAACATTTATCCATCGTGATGTCGATAGAGACAAGAAAATGTCAAGCGGCCCCCTGTTTGTTCCGTAGTAACCGAACCGGCTATATACCATATACAAAGAATTGCCCAATCCTCTAGCGACGCTGAATAATAATCATATAACAGTAATAATAATAAAATAATATGGCGTACTGTCCAACGCGTCGTTTGTTTGGTCAGCATTCAGAAAACGGTCATAGCAAGATGTTTCCCAGCGTCTGTCACGATATCCTACCTAGAGCCGCGCGCGAAGTCCATTACGTTGGGGATTATAGCTCTTAACGGGAATACTACTGTTATCATCACTAGTAGTAATAATAATAAAACATCCGTATTATATTTGTCCCTATAACGTGTTGTTTTTTTAGTCGGAATAAGCAGAGAATAGCTTTACTATCTATGATTCTCGCGAAAAGTCTACTGTTCGAACTGAGGCTACGATTAAACAAAGCAAAAAAATGTCAGCAGCAGTCGATAGTACTTTACCAGTCCAATAGAAGGTCACAGGTTTCTGCTCGCTTCATTTTTCCTATCATACGTTGCTCTCATCGCGGTTACCTACCATCATCGTCATTAAATCGGGTCGATGTCGCGGTCGGCCATCAGTCTGCATCCTCCCCAGCAGCGTTCGACGGCGCTGCAGTAAGGGCCGCCGCCCAACATATCCCTAAAATATCGTACTATTGTACCATAGAATCAAATGACCAACTGTATGCATACACTGAATCCAATGTCAGTTACTTGTTCAGCGTTCAATTTCTAGTCTATGTAGTCTCCATCTAACAGGCGACACTATAAAATACGATCTTGTCGCACGATTCGTTCTTTTCGAAAAAGCACAAAGTACGCATCAGAGAAATGCCTTAATTTGATCAAGGTGTCCATACTTGGTAATATGGCTGTTATAGCTATACTAATTCCTTCAGGACGAGTTACTGCGTTGTCGTTTACGACATCTCTGCTATCAGACTGAGGCATATTGATAATCATATCCTTTTTTTTCCTTCCTATTTCACCACTGTTTGAAGCCTTCTTAAAGCCGCTCTGTTCCTCGTACTCATCAAGCAACAACCTAGCCGTTTATTGTTGCCGGCTCGCCGATCAAAAATTTACCCGATCTAACTGTTGTCATGAGTTGATCTTGCTTCAGTCCACCCACTAAAACAAAATATATAAAAAATTAGCAAATCGATGACTTATTAAACCTTGGTCGCGTTTATTTGGAAAAGTTGTATCTATATCTGTGTACCATATTTTACAGTAATATGACTTCTCTATGGAATAGATGAGAATAATCGGCTGTTTAGACCTTCCTAAATAATAAACCGCCCTATGATACTTCTCTTCTTCGTTCACTTTACCTATAGCTGTTATTAAGTGTTTTATTGTAACAATGCTAAAATTCGGCTGATTTTTTCTTCTGTGCCTATGACGATCGTGCTGTTTTCCCATTGTTTTTGTTGTCATTCATCTCCTTCGCCGCAGTGTTGTCCAGGTTAGCTCTCGTCGCTGACGTCGCTGTTGTTGGTACAGTCACCCCTGGCCTTATGCGACCTTGTAGAAGGAGGCTTTTTCGCTGCGCGCTAAAGGCGCTGTGATTCCCGCCGCCGCGTTTCGATAATTTCTGTGTTATCCGCGTTCATGTAAAATACAGCAGAGTCGACAGATACAAACAACTAGCTTCGGCCGGTGTTGTCGGTCTCGTACCATTATAATTGAAGACAGATACAACAAAACTACGCGCCACATGTAGACCCACATATAAATAAAGTTTTATTTATGAATAAATTGGCTGTCTGGCTAGGCGATTGGCTGGCCCAGATTCAATCGAATACAAAGTCGAAGGTCGTTTGCCCCCTACGTCATCCCCGGGGGGCAGATAGCCAGCCAAGACCTGAACTAACGTGGACGAACGTTGCCAGTCAATACAGTGCCGGCATTACTCTGGATCAGTAGCATTATTATTTCGAGAAGACCAATGCGCGATCCAGGTACTTGTAAAGGAGGATACAGCGTTACGGTAGCGATGCCAAAAACTGCATTGCTCTGGTAATGTATTAGTTTGCGGTTATTTTGGCTCGCTCGGAAACGTGACAGAAAATTGAAGCCAGCAAATATAGCGTACGGGACTAGCGTCAGTAGTAGGAACAGCAGTAAGATGCCTGGATAAAAGAAGCCTTGTCACAACGGTGTCTGCAGTAAAAGCGTCAGCACGACAGAGCCCATCACGGAAGTGGCCAATGCAATAGCCATGTCAAAAAGGGAGTCCTTTAGAAGCCGCCCGTTTTCCTCTACGATTACACATAGCAACCAATAATAAACAGGGTTATTATTGTACCGGTGGCAGTTAGCTGTCGAAAACGTTGAAGTAAAATTTTGACGTATAGCATTGCGAAACGTCTTACGCTGAAACGACGATTTCTGCCGACCGTTTGTCAAGTTTCTGTATGTTTGATGTAAAAATAAAGAAAAACCGTTCACATATCGCCCGCCGGTCACTGTTAATAGAAACATCTACAATTCACTGCTGTAACCGAATTGTGAAGTAGGTGCCAACTGTCACAAAACAGAAAATACGTTCTTTTTCAATTTAGATTTTTTTTTAAGGTTCGGTTAACATTGGCGCATTTTGTTAACAATTCTGTCCGCCAAAGGAGATCATATTAATGCTCTCGATATCGATTGTGCCGTATTAGTAATTTTCGGCACCAATTCACTAACGTTATATAAAATTTTTACAACGATATCCGGTTTAGTGGCTTAATGCCCATGTGACGAGCAACCCTGTATGCTCCAGGGCTCATAGTGTCATTGTACAATGGTTGCCGAAGATGTGAAATTATATGATTGTTAGGGCAAATGGCACTCGATAGATTTCTACAGCGTCTCTGTGTCGTTACTCCTAGTCTTTCATCTATCACGGGACCCAGATACTCGATGTTGGCAGCTAGCATTTGGCGAGCTAGCATGGGACACTGTACAGACGCAAACAGAGCAACGGAAAAGCAAGAGAGAGGGACGCAAGTTGGTCAGTATGAAAGGACATACTGCCCTTAAGGACAAGAGATAAAGAGCTTGACTAAAGCTAAAAGGAGACGGACCCCATGCAGCAATTTATTGCAATGGCAATATCGGTAGGGTTCGCGTGGACAATATCGAAAATAGGTCAGATGTGGCCCGGCCAACTATGTACCTGCCGTATATGCGACTGCGAGTTTTTAGGCCGTCGTATAAGCTTGGCCGTCGCTACGGGATCCTCAAAAACGGATGTCGAGTGTTGAATAGTTTATAGTGAAGACTGAGATTGCATTGTAAATAAAAGAAAGGTAAACGTTTTTTTGTAGACATTTCATAGCAATGTACACGTCTTAGCTTAATGATATTGCCGATAGTTACAATTTGACGCATCGGTAAATACTCAACGGGTTTAGGACAAATAAGACAGATGTGTAAGCGTGTATGCAAATCAGACGTATATCATATGCATCTTCACTGAAAACCATTGAAGGAAAGCGCCATTTTAGAGGCATCAGCTTTTCTCAAATGTGCCTCAAAGGTAAAGTCGAGGTGTCATTGCACGAACCTCACTTTGAAACATGCCAACACAGTGAACACTCCTATTTGAGTTGTATCTGTATGTAAATCTTATGTCAGTCATGTCACCTTACATGTAACACATAGCAAGACTTGACTCTACGTAAACATGTAGGCAAATCCATTTTCTATAGGGCTCTTATCTCGTTCGTGAAGCATATCATTTTTTCTTAGTTTTTTGATGATGGAAAAGGTCTTACCAATCAAAACTCGCTCCCCTGTCACTGCCGCAAAGTGCCGGCCGTAACCGTACGAGAATGCTTTCTGGTGTCACTCCACTTCCTATATATTATAACTGGTTTTTGCTACGAATTATAGGACAGAATTAGTGGAATCCAGCTCTAATGCACGAAGCGCCTCTTTCTAATCTTTCTAAGCTAACTTCTTCGCATGATGATAAGTGTTGGGCGCAGATTCCACAGTAGTTTATCTTTCAACTTCTAACAATACCTTGCGAATGGAGTGCAAGATTACTGCATAATATAAATTTCGGGCAGCGGGATACAATCGGACTTGGCACCTTGCAACTAGCGTTTCATGCATAAATCCCATTCAACTAGATTAAATATCATTACATTATGTATATTGTAATTGAGTTTATATATGTGTGTGTTGTTGCTTTAAATAATCAGGAATAAAAGCACAGTCCCTTACACAATAAATGGAATATCGTTGGGAAATTTCTATAAGTAATGGGTAATCCTTCCAATTTCGTAACCAGCTTATCGCCAATTTGTTTTGACAGACAGGAGGGAACTGCTATGAAAAAGGCGTCAAGCTGATCCCCACCGCAACCCCACCAGCATTCGTTCCCTGAGTTAGCCTGAGGCAAAGAAAGCAGTTGCTTTCCAGTCAAGAATCAAAACGAACCAAATCTGAGTACCGGATTCAAGCGTAACTTACAATATAATGCAACATGACGAATTCCCTTAGTGAATTAATTCGGTTTCTGTAGCTACCGCACGGTTATGTCCGGACGCTGGATGCATATAGTCGCGCTCGTCGGGACTAATAAAAGTTCTGCCCTTTTCATATATTACGTAAGAACAACGAATGAACATATATGTGACCAATGTTTTTTCTCTAACGCCGATGAGTGTTTTATAGTGCTAACAAGACGCTTAACGTTTATCTATATAACAGCTGTTAGACAGAACGGGTTCGGGTTGGGTCGAGCTGACGAAGCGGCCGTGCGCCTGCTCATAATTTGCTTCTGCCCTTTAAGCTGATTCTTGCGTTGACCGACATAGAGGCAATAATCTTCTGTGCTTCAATAGTATCAATACAGAATTTATATATATATTCTGTGTGTGCAATCGGAGCAACGTTTCGATTACTTCACTTACAATTCTCGTGATAATAAAAACAATGTTTATGTTTGTATCAATTAATTGTTATTGAATACGTGAATCTGTTTGATGCCGGCTACTTGGGGGCCAAAAATTTGTAATAATATACACAGAGATTCGTCACCATATTTCAGCCACTCTAGCTAGAACTATAAATATGTAAGCAATAAAAGTATTATTTTTTGTGAATATTACTAGCTTTTTTTTTTTTTTTATAATTGTCATAGCAAACATGTGAAACCGGCGAATTTTATTGTTCTTATTATTATCACTAACCCGGTGAAGTGGTTTGACTTTGAATTTGATATACCTTGTTTAGAATTAGGTGAAGAGTAATTAGACATTTGGAAAACAAAGATGTTTCTTAGCAGAGTGTTGTACTCTCTTAAAATAGATTGGAGACAATTGCCACTAGCAACTCCGCGAGGTTCTTAACATGCAATAGCGTATGAGAGCTATAATTGTAGGCTTGATTGTTAGAAAAACGATCGGCTTGTAGCAGGAAGGACCTCACGTAAATAGTCTCTATATGAAGCGTATTAAATGAAATCAAAGATTCAGATGAAGAGGCTTTTTATCTTGTTTGTGGATGTTTCTGTGAATGAAACTTTACTTGGAACATAGTTTCAACGCGCAGAGATATAGGGGGTAAATCGGTAGATCCACAAGCGTGGGATTTAAACCCGGGCCCCTTGCACCTTTAGAGAGAATCATACCCCTGAAC